CTGAGACTTTCCATATGATTTTAATGAACTATATCAGGATCACTGATGACTCAAGAAGATAACAGTGCCATGCACATACCTGATTGATGTCTCCAAATAGTTCTCCTTTGTAAATAAAGCAGGAAATTTCTTTACGTTTATATATATATGTGTATGCACACACACACACACACATATATATGTAAATTAAAAAAAAAACCAACTTAGATGTCATTATGTTAATTCCAGCAGTTAAAACTCATTAAATATATGCCCACATTGCAGCATGATCGTGGTTAAAGGAAGATTACAACACAGGAAACTCCTACGCTGTAGATTTCAGTGTGTTGCTGGAACACTTGAGATAAGCTCACCTAGGGAAAACATTCTGTCCAGTCTAACCACACAGCCAAAGAGCTCCATGTGGCTTAATCTACCCAGCCAACCAGTCCATGTTGCAATGGTTAATATGCTTCCAGTACTCAAGTTACCTTGTAAAAATTTTGCTCAGCATTTGTAAATTACATTGCAACCTGCAAAATGCATATAACTTGAGAAGAAATGGCCACCATAGATGTTAATATGATTTTATTTTTCCAGGGGGTTTAGTTGTCTTAGCTATTATCATGGTTTAATCCCAGTCAGTAACTCAGAACCATGCAGATGCTCACTCACTCCCATGTGTTTTTCAACCCCACGCACTGTGGGAAGGGAAGGAGAATCAAAAGAATGTAACTCCCGCGGGCTGACATAAGAACAATCCATTAACTAGAGTATAACACAAAACCACTACTGCTACCACCAATAGTAATAATGATAAGGGAAATAACAAGGGAAGAGAATATAAAACTAAAAAGGGAAGGAAAAAAACTCAACCAATAAACACAAGTGGCGCACAATACAACTGCTCACCACCCGCTGACTGATAACCAGCCTGATCCGAGCAGCAACCTGCACCTTCTGGGTGACTCCCCCGAGTTTATATACTGGGCACGACATGCTGTGGTATGGAATACCCTTTTGGCTAGTTTGGGTCAGGTGTGCTGTCTCTGCTTCCCCCTGGCTTCTAGTACCCCTCCTCACTGGCAGAGAATGAGAGACTGAAAAGTCCTTGATTGGGGTAAGCACTACTTAGCAACAACTAAAACATTGGTGTATTATCATCATTGTTCTTAGACTAAAGCCAAAAACACATCACTGAACTAGCTACTAAGGAGAAAAATAACTGTTACAGCTGATCCCAGGGGAGTCACCCTGTAGATATTTTTGTCAACTACAGAAATCAGTAGAAAAACTTCTGATTAACACCATCTTAAGGGAACTATTGTAAATCACAAGAGAGAATTCAGTTCTTTATGTTTTTAGGCAAATGTAATTGACTCTTCTTAATCATCTCTCCTTCAAATCCATGTAGATAACGATGATCTGTATAATAAGAAAAGAATGACAATATCTTGCTCTAGTTCAGCAGCTTACTATTTATTTTAATGTGCTTAAGAAATTTAAGAATATAGTCTATAAATGACAGCTAGTTATATAAAGGTTTCCTGAAGCAAGATAATACAGCACCTTCAATATACTTTACAGGTGTCTTTTTCTTCCTTTAGATTTAACGTTCAGTCTCTTACAACAGGATTACAGTTACATTTGCTGAAACTTTTAATTCTTTTTTAATTTTACTTTTACATGCATTGTTAGCTCAATTTTAAAACTCATAGTGTGGATCTCCTTTATATGAACAAAAAACATAGTAATGGAAAATTTATTGCCTTGTCCCTATTATTTCACTTACTTTTGTTATAAAAAACATTTTTACATCAACAATTGTATATTAAGGCACCGTGACATGGAAATTCAAAACATATCACTACAAATTGCTGCAACTGTTAATTCTAAATGGAATTAAATTATTCTCTATGATTAAACACCCCTTCTCTGCCACAGTGTGTGCACTTAAAATAAATATTTAATAACCTGTTTTAATTCTGAACTTTAAAGTTGTGCCAAAGTCATTGACAAAAAGCCAAAGAGATAACAGTTGTTGCTGGTAATGAGAAAATATTAGAACACTTCCAACAAAAGGTGTTTGATGTCAGAATAAGATTTTTATGATCAACCGTCTTTTCAGAGAAAAAAAGAAGGTTCATAAGTGTCTTAGAATTTGTTGTGATTTGCAATCTTTTTTTCCTACAAAAAAAAGTTTTTCATAATAGTGTGTGCAAATATTTTATTGTCCCAAGTATTGCTGATCTTTAATAAAAGAAAAAAAGTCCCTTTAATATAATGAATGCATAAAAGCTTTTGTTGCTGGTGATTATATGTCTTACATGCAAATAAGAATAAAATGCATAACCCAGTAAAAGTAATTTTTGACATTCCTAGTCAAAAGCTGCAGCAAACCCAGAGGGTCACTGCCCAACAAACAAAAGCTCTTGGGGGGCTGAGCCTGCGGAGGTTGTAGGGTTATGCTCACGCTTAGCTGGGAGCAGCCAGAAGGTTAAAAAGGTTAAGCCCATGATAAAGAAGCATGTGAAAATAAACCCAAGGAGATCCCAATCCTGAAGAGTAGGGGTCCCCCACCATGAACATCATATTTGTCTCAGGAAAAGACCTCAAAATGCTGTTCACCCACCATAGCTCTCCTTCTTGAGGAAAATTCCATTGTCATCTAAAGATAACCAAAGATGATGGAAGGGTGAGATCTGGGAATGGATTTTTTATATGATTATTTGTACTACATTTTTATTGAGGCTTTTCTGATTTGGGCTATTAGATTATTAATGCATAAGTGACAATGATATTAAATTCTTAGCTCTATATATATGATGTGTTTTGTTCAAGATTTTGAGAGTTACAATGGTTTAGGAAGGTAGGTTTGAAAAAATTGTAGCCATGTTTAACACACAAAATATAAATTCAAATTAATAACATGTTAATATTAATAAAATAAAGCAAGGATGCCTGAAAAAACAAGTTCTGAAGTAACACAGGCAGAGAAAAATAAAAAACACCAAAGTTTTCTTATTGGAATAAAAATAAAAGTAAAATCAAAATAGTGTTGTTTTGGAAGCCAAACAGCACATATGTAATTAGTTATATGTACCATATATAACAAAATTCAAAACTTTAAGGGTTAAGAATGAACTGTCAAAGCAACTTTATTTTAAAAGGAACCAGTACTTTTGCAACCGAAGTGGATAAAAATATGTTTTTGTTCACCTTTTTTAGCTCTATTGGGAGCCTTAATATAAAAAGGCCTCTGTGATAAAAACACATGATACTACCACGCTTACAGTGTATTTCCATTCTAAAATACAATCATCTGCAATTATTTTGTGTTGATAAAATGTTTTTATTACCTTTGATGCTATCCAAACCAACATTTTCTCAGTTTCAGCTGAAAGAGAATTCTTCCAGCTAATAACCTTGCAAAGTCACTCTGGAATTCAAGAGTTAATGTATGTGTATTCGTGTTCTAATATAAAAAGTGAAAATGAGACCAGAATTTGTTGTTGAAATGAAAACTCAATGAACAGTTCCATTGACAATGCACAAGACACAACAGAATTTAACTGTTACAGATTTCCATCAGGTTTTGAAAGGTAATATAATATAGATTTTTTCTTTCCCCACAAAAGAAATAAGCAGCTGTGATTGTAGAATACATATATGAAGTATAACCTTAAATAAAATTACTGGCTCCTTGAATAATATAAACCTATAACTCTAGTACTTGGATAACAGATTAATTGACATGATTTCTTTTTTACCTTGCTGTTTCAATTAGGTGGAGAACATTGTACTATAACTTTATAAAAAATTTTATTTGCATAGTGTTATCAGTGGGATAGCAATGGATACTGCAAAAATCTGACTCTGACAGAAGAAAATTGGTTCATCACAATTGTGTAAATTATGCCATTACACAAACGATCTTTACTTCTTTGACAGTCTGAGAAAGAGAATAAATTAAAATGGAAATCAATTTTTAGCTCCTTGATCACAATTTGATAGTCATTTATACATAAATGTGTTGTAAGCAATTATTTTAAGAAGTATGAAGGATTCGAATTGTTGCCATTTTCTGGAAATGAGTGTTTTACACTAATTTCATTTGTACCAATGAATGTACAATGATGTCTTGAAAAATGGATTTAAATTATAACAATTTCCCAAGATTCAGAGGTCTGAATTTAAACTCTATCTTTTACACGTTGTAAGAAACACACTTCAGCTGTGACCATTGAATTCACTTCAGAATTTGTGACCATAAGCAACTTAATTTGTGACCATAAGCGACTGAGAAAAAGAAATCTACCACCCAAAGTTTAAAAAAACTTATAGCGACCAGTTAAATTCATATTAGCATATTTCACATATTTTTGTTGAATATGCATAATAATATGAAGAATAGAACAGAGAATACAATAATAATCCTTTACTGATTTAGTTCCAATGCTTTTCATGGTGTTAATTTTCCTTTTCCAGCAGAGTTTAAATATATATTATAAAGCTTTCTGTGTGATGATTGATTGAATGGTAATTGATTAATTATGCATACAATTAATTTCTATTATGCCTGTCACTAGTTGTTTTAGAGTAATATCCATAATTGTATTGTATCATGACAGATAATGGATGATTAATTTTAGCTGACAGTATAAAATATCAAAATTCTTTTAAATTTTGCTCTCCAAAAATATGCCTGAGAGCTATAAAGGAAATACCCTAGTTTAAAACTCGACCTATTATACATGATGCTGTTGTAGTTTAAGCCCAGATGGTAACTCAGAACCATGCAGCCGCTCGCTCACTCTCTCATTTCTTTATCCCTCTGCTCCCAGAGGGATCGAAGGGAGAACTGAAGGAATATAACTCCCACGGGTTGAGATAAGAACAGTCCAGTAATTAAAGTATAAAACAAGCCACTGATGCTACCACCAATAATAATAATCATAAGGGAAATAACAAAGGAAGAGAATACAACCTCTCACCACCCACCGACCGACATCCAGCCCAACCTGAGCAGCGATCTGGCCTTTCCGGGTAACTCCCCCCAGTTTCTGTACTGGGAATGACGTGCTGTGGTATGGAATACCCCTTTTGCTAGTTTGGGTCAGGTGTCCTGTCTCTGCTTCCTCTTGGCTTCCCCTCCTCCCTGGCAGAGCATGAGACTCACAAAGTCCTTGGTCAGAGTAAACATTACTGAGCAACAACTAAAAGCATCGGTGTTATCAGTGTCGGTCCCAGGCTGAAAGTCAAAACCACAGCACTGTAGTAGCTACTAGGAAGGAGAAAAATGACTGTTACTACTGAACCCAGAACAGATGCCTGATGGCAGCATTCAGCCTAAAGTTTCCTTGCTACTCTGGCTTTTCCCAGCACAACACACTTCTTTGCTTTTCTGGCTTTTAGCAGTGAGGAGACATAATGATGTTGAAGTTGGGTAAACAGTACATATTCAGTGGTAGCAGAAAAAGACAAGAAACAACCAGACAGTTTTCCTGTTTTATTCATACTTTACAAAACCATTAGTTAACTACTGGTTCCTAACAATACAAGGGCATTTGAACACTGTCCTTAATAACATGCTTTTGGTCAGCCCTGAATTGATGAGCCAGCTGCACTAGGGTCCCTGCAGACTGAAATATTAATCTCGCCTCGCCTCGCCTCGCCTCGCCTCGCCTCGCCTCGCCTCGCCTCCCCTCCCCTCCCCTCCCCTCCCCTCCCCTCCCCTCCCCTCCCCTCCCCTCTCCTCTCCTCTCCTCTCCTCTCCTCTCCTCTCCTCTCCTCTCCTCTTCTCATTTAACTGTCTAGGTGTAAATCTGTTAAACTGCAGTGTTTTCTTTCCTTCAAATGCATCACAGATAAGAGCAGAAGGGAAACTTGTACATTATATAGTTTGGGGAAGTACCAGTGTGCTTGTAGGAACACAGTTGATACCTCATAGGTTATTCTTTTCTTTTGAAGGATTTTGTGCTAGCATAGCAATCCATGGCTAAGGTATAAACAAAAGTTTTGAACACAAAACTTTTAGGAAAATAATATCACAAAATAGTTATGGATATATGATGTTAAAATATAATTAAATTTAGCTTTTTCCTACTACCACTTAACATTTTAATTTAGTCTCACTAATATATTCAACATTCAGCAGCAGTACTGTAAAATATTTTTAATATTTATAAAAATAAGATTTTCAGCTATTAAAAAATTCTGAAGGCTTTATACCAAAATGTTAAAGTCTTGTAAAGATGTTTCTCAAAAAGGGGGGCAAAGAGTTACCAAAGTCTAGAAGCCCTAATTTTAACAACTGAAATTGCAATGAGAAATTGAAATTACTAGTAGAAAGAAATTATTAGTAGAAAAAGAAATTACTAGTAGAAACTCTGCCTACAATTTAACTAAAGTCATGCATAAGATCTGTTACTGCAGGATACTTTTTACAAAGTTCAGTGAGCATATTTAAACTGTCATTGAATAGAAGGGTTTTCTAAGTGCTTATGTTTAGCACTCGTGTGCCTAAGTTTGAAGTTACAACGCAACCTGTACATTTCAGTGTATTTAATATTAATTTTGTTAGCTATCCAGCTGTGGAAGTGTCTAGTACTGCTAAGTAGGTCAGTTCTTTCTTTATTCCAGAGCTGCAATGGAAGGCCAAGAGGCATGCTTATGAAACCGTTTGCAACGCTCTTAAATCTCTTGTTAAAGCTGGAATGCCAGAGCATTTTTCCATTTGTTAATGAACACCTTAAAATACACAAACAATAAATTTGATATCAGTACTTGACAACAGCAATTAACATATGGCTATTATATTTGCATAGTCTCTTTAGAAAACAAAGATTCAATTATGGCTCTAAGGCACCAAATCTGCATAATACATGTTCCAACACACACCCGCAGTAATTGGCTGTATTGCTATAAACAGTATGTTAAATGCCTTGTATATTCCTTTTAAACTTGATTGATTGTCTCTGTTCAGCTCATCCCTTGTGTATCTCTTTTGAGAACTATACTAGACCTACATAGAATTAAATACTCCTGGCTCACAATGAACTGCTAATACATTACAATATCTTTAGAACGCAGACCTGATTTTTAATGAACATATACATATTTTTTTTAAGTACTACTTTTTGAAATCAGAACTTAGATGATTAAAAATCTGATTAGCAATCAGAAAGAAATTGGTCACAAAAGACAGAGTTAAACCAGCAATTTTTCTTTTGTATTTCTTAGTATATATTTGCTTATAAAAATCGTCACACTGAAATGATTTATAATATTGTTATTTAAATAGTACAGGTTTGATAATGGAAATATATAAGAGCGATTTTAAATATATAATTAAATATGGATATATTAATATATGGTTATGAATAAAAGAAAGTAATATTGTAAAAAAATTTTTCTATTAGAATTTTCATCCTGTATTTCTAAGTCCACTCACATAGAAAACAATATCTCTTATATTGTTATTTGAAGATTCTATTCGGGACTTGCATATGATGGGTACGTATGTGGCTGTTTTACAGGAAGGAGCTCTATTCTACAGACCTGAACTGTTTCTCTGACAACCTGTATCACCTTCCTTCCAAGACATATTATATATCCCTGGTATAATGTTTGGGGTTTATTTTTCATTGGATTAGAGTAAGTGAAAAATCTGTCCACCACCTATTTCAGATACTGGTTCTCCTTCATTAGAACAAACTGTGGCATAGAATATCTATTCATGAGCTTCACACACAGCAGAACTGTAGAAGCCTTTTGGGACCAAGCATGGATATTCATATTAGCAATAACAAGATGGTTCTTGCTAACAAACTCCAGGCATATTTAACATTAGAGACATCCTAGATGTCCAAAACACCCACACTGGGCTGGAGAGATATCACAAAGGCTGCAGAGAGAGCAAAGGAGCTATAGGTGATGCATCCTATGGAATGACAGCTGAAGGCCATGTATTCAAAATTATCTATGATCATGTCGTGGTTTAAACCCAGTCAGGTAACTCGTTCACTCACCCCCCCCCACTTCTTTCCCCCCCCTGCTCCCGGAGGGACGGAAAGGAGAGTCAAAAAGAATGCAACTCCCACGGGTTGAGATAAGAACAGTTTAGTAACTAAGGTATAACACAAATCACTACTTCTACTACCAATGATAATAATGATAAAGGAAATAACAAGGGAAGAGAATACAACACCTCAGCACCAGCCGAACGATAACTCGCCCCCCTCAGCCCAACCAAGCACCGACCCATACCTCCTCCAACCCTGCAGACTCCCAGCCCTTACGGCTAACTCCCAGTTACCTCCTGGGCATGACGTGCTGTGGTATGGAATACCTCTTTGGTCAGTTTGGGTCAGGTGTCCTGTCTCTGTTTCCTCCTGGCTTCCCCTCCTCCCTGGCAGAGCATGAGGCTCACAAAGTCCTTGGCCAAACCAAAACATCGCTATCAGTTCTGTTCCCAGGCCGAAAGTCAAAACACTGCACTGCACCAGCTACCAAGAAGGAGAAACATGACTGCTACTGCTGAACTCAGGACAGATCATTAGTTCATTAAATCACACTTTTGTATCTATCTGTACTAATGCTCAACAGCAACCTTACTCTGCAAGCAGTAAACAAGCTACAGGAAGATATTCAGAAAAGAAGTATTAGAAAAACAAGACTTGGCTTACTATCCTTACACAATTATTAAGTACCATTTCTTTTGCTGTTGAACTTTGATTTGCATCATTGTTCCAGCTGTCTATATTAGGTGTTTTGTATACAAACCATTAAATAAATGGCAGTTTAACCTTGAGATTAAAGATTAGATGTCTTTCAGGCAAATACTATAAATTTCTTTCATTTGTGTGTATATATATATATACATGTCAGACCTACACAAAGGTGCGAGAACCTTTTATTTGTGAACAGTTCTTCACAATGATTGTATTTGTGTTTTTCCTAATTATTACTGTACAAGTTATATCTTGCTTTGGTGAAAAGGAGATTTTAAGCATGTAAGTCTGTATTTTGCTAGTAGCCTGCTGTGTGCTTTTCATTCCTCGTACTGAGGAAGCAACTCTCAGAACTACAAGTTTTAAAACTTACTGCCCTTACTTTGATGTGAAAAGAAAATCTAGTTAATGAAAAAGCAAACAGCAAAAGAACCTCTTTGCTTGCTGTTTTTGTTTTCTTTTCCCCCACACTAAGGGAAATTAAAGGATAACTTAAGATTCCTTCCCCACCCCCCCAAAAAAAATTAAAAAAATAAGAAAAAATGGTGCTCTGTGTTGCATCTTTTCAGATATTTTGAGAAAGGGAGAAAGGGAGGTGTACTGTGTCTGGTTGGGATAGTTAACTTTCTTCATAGCAATCCATATGGTGCTATGTTTTGTATTTGTGACCAAACCAGTTTTGATAACACACCAGTGTTTTAGCTATTGCTGAACAGTGCTTGTACAGCTTGTACAGTGCTTGTTTCTCCCTCTGCCTCCTCTAACATGTATGCTGGGGTGCACAAGAATTCGGGAGGAGGAGACACAGCCAAAATATCTGACCCAGCTGACCAAAGAGATGTTTAATGCCATATAAAGTCATGCTCAACAATGAGAAAGGTGAGGAGGTGTGTTTTGGGTAGGTACCCATTTCTCAGAGACTGGCTGGGCATCAGCCTACTTACAGGAGGTGTTGAGTGATTGCCTTCAATTTCGGTTTTGTGGAGGGTTTGGTTGATTTTCTCTGAACTGTCTCTTTTTCCTCTTTCTTCCACTTTTTAAACTGTCTTTATTTCAACTCACAACTTTTATCTCTTTTGCTCTTAATCTTTGCTCCACCCTGCTACAGGGCAGGGGCAGTGAGGAAGCAGCTGTGTGGTCCTTAGTTGCTGGCTGGGGTCAACCCACCACAGAGCATGAGTATTACAAATCAAAATCTTTAGAGAAATGTGAAAACTGTTGCTTGTAAGTTTCTCAGAAACGAAAGAAATTCCATCTTTTTAAAACATGTGCAACTGGCCAATATTTGAATATTAGAAAAATTGAGATTTTTTTTTTTTTTAGTTGGAATGGCTAATTACGTGAAACTATAGATGTGTGTGAAAAACTTTGGATATGTTCAGTACTGCTGATATTTATTAAAAATAAAATTGAAAATACAAAGTGACAGAAAATTAATTTTCATCTTTGTATTCTCATTAAGAATGTATATTTCCCAACAGTAATATACAT